ACAGCCTCAATCTTCTCACTATAATAAGTCATCACATGGCCAAGACAATACAAAGCCAACAAACACAAACAAATCATCAATTAGCAAAAGCTGAGTACATACACAATTAAATGCATACACACTAACATGCTCAACCTAAACAATAAAATAAATAAACATGATTGTCACACAACACAATCAAACTTACCTTTGACCAACACAATAAGTATTTATTTATTAGTATAATATGAATTACGCATCGAACGAGTTTTCAATTAACCAAATATCCCTATTCCTAAATAATGATCGAGGTGAACTGACATGAAAGCTAATCAATAAGACAAATAAATAACCATGTCACTCATAAAGTGACGGACGTCCCAACACATAATAAATAATAGAAGGAAAATTCAATGTCATGACCTCGACCCCTATAGAAGTTATAATTTAATATACAATCACATAAATCCCCTCATATGTTCGTACTCGAGGCATATACGTTCCAAGAATTTTTGTGTGAATCCTCTTTCAGTTTACATGATTTACATATTAACAACAAGTGATGACTCATTCCACACACACAAACAACAATCCACATAAATTATTCAAGCAATTAAATGAGTTCCAATTAAATTTTTAAATAATTAATGATCACACAATAATTAAATAATGTGAAATCCATTTATTAACCAATGATGCATAGCACCCTAGTGCATACAAACACCTATCCAAAATATCCAACCAACTGTGTTCAACGCACTAATCAATTGCTCCAACCATAAATTTGTGCTAAAAAAACTTCCAATACCTTAAGTGAACCGTACCACACCAAAAATTCTTTAACAATGTACCAAACGAACCAATATCCACCAACGTTTGAGCTCAACATACTCATTTCTATATTCCAAAATAAATTCATGGTTCAACAATAATAATAATGTTCATTCAAAATACTTGAAACAATATTCACAAAGCCTAAACCACAATTCCAAACAACATTTAGCACAAATTTAAGTATAAAATCCAACCTAAACATGATTCTACACCAATCACAACACATAAATTAATCCCTAGCCTGATTCTGCATGCAAGATACAATAATTCTATTCGTGTACGTACCTTGAGTATATTCGCAAATTAAATTACCACTATTTCAAGAAATCACTCAATTCGAAGTCTCCTACAACCATTAATGACCAAACTCGTTATACATAGTACTAATAATTTTTAGCACTAATAAAATACTACTTAAAACCTTTTACTATAATCTGAAAATTTTATTAATTAAATTATTTAAAACCTTTTTTTAATGGGAACTCAAAACCCTATTTAAATTTAAAAATTCAGTAAAATAGTACTTATAATAAAAATTACAGCAATAGCAAACTACGTATAATCTGATTTTGATATAAAAACATTATTTTCAATACCCAATTGTTAATATAACAATCCCTAGGAAAAACACATAAAAATTCCAACCTAGGGTTTACAGTACAATTTTAAGGCTTTTCAATTGCATATAAAATCTGAAATATATGGGGCAAAATAAATAAATAAAAAACTATCAATTTATATCTAAAACTTCATAAATTTAAAAGCTTTAAATCAATTCATAAAAAGACAGGAAAGAATTTTTTTAATTTTTTTACTTACACACACCACACACGCAAGAGAGGGGGAAAAGGACTGTTGGCCGTAGGTGCACTATTGCCGTCGGGTGGTGGTGTGCTGGTGATGACAGAGGCGTGAGGGAAAGGTCGAACAAGCTAGAAGGATAAAGAGGAGAAAGAGAAAATACAACGTAATTTAGGTCTTCTTAAAAATTGCACTTTGAAAAAAAAACAATTAGGCTTTTTGGACTTGTTTAATGAAGTTGGGTATTGTAGACACCTAAAAATGTCTCCCCAAAACCAAACCCAATGATGAACAATCTTTCACAGCATTATTGGTCGGGTTGAGTATTTAATCTCGGGAGTGCTTAAAATCCATGTATTTAATCCAACACAACATACAAAGTAGTCCACAGATCAGTCCAAGTATTTAGTCAAAGCATAGTCTAAGTATAACCCTCATTTTAGCCCAAACCCTTTTAGGCCCTGTTCTTTTGAGCATCTAGGCAGAGCAGAGCAGAACATATTACTACTACTGCTGCTGCTGCTGCTGCTACTACTGCTACTGCTGCTACTGCTGCTGTTGCTACTACTGCTGCTACTACCTGCTGCTGCTACCTGCTGCTGCTGCTGCAGCTACTGCTACTACTACTACTACTACTGCTGCTGCTGCTGCTACTACTACTTCTACTACTACTACTACCAATGGCGGTGATTATTATTGGTAAGTAATGTATCCGGTGATTATTATGAGTCTTCTTTTTTTAATGTGCTATTTTAAAAATGAGTCTTCTTTTTTAATTTATTCTTTACCACTTAGTACTTGACTTTAATAATTTTCTACTCAATACAACCTTTACCAATTATTAAAATTTTCTAAAAAAAATACTATTATTCATAAAGCTATGATTCCCTTTTTTGCATGAACCTACTTTTTTACACTATATAAAGACAAAAACTCCATTATCAATTACACTCTCTCACTCAGCATACAACTACTTCAAACAACAAAAAATTCGCTTTATAAAACCTGCAATAAAACTACAGAAGACATTATTCTGTTGACAGAAGATTACAAGGTAAAAAAATTAACTATTATTCATCTGTTCTTATTGCTCTATTTGATATATGTACATTTAAATAATTCCTTTCTTCATAAAGTGCATACATCTCGTGTAATTCATAGAAGAAAAATAGGATCATATGTAATAGTATAAAAGAAATTTTGAAATATTCATGCTTAATATAATTATTAGTTAACTAACAATTTTTTTTTTTTTTTTTTTTTTTTTTTTTTTTTTATCAGGATGAAAACAGAACGCATGCATCTTGATGAGCTTAATCCTAGCTCCATGAATTTCACAGTCAAAGTTAAAGTTTTCTAAAAAGCTAGACAAAGGATATCTTCCAACTCTAGAACAACAATCTTTCAAACTTTATATGTACTTGATGAAAAGGTATATTATGTCTTTTTGGATTTTGTCATTGTACTATCTATGAACCTTATTGAATGCATGTATTTAATAGAATCTATTTTAGGTTTTTGAAAAAATAACAAAATTTGCAAGGTATATTATGTCTTTTTGGATTTTGTCAATGTACTATCTATGAACCTTATTGAATGCATGTCTTTAATAGAATCTGGTTTAGGTTTTTGAAAAAATAACAAATTTTGCATGCAATCTATGGCTTTACGTGAAATCTAATTTTGATAACAACAACCAGCTAGGGTTTCGTGGAAAAGAAACACATGCAATTACTGGTAGATGAAATTTACCTGTTAAAATAATAAGGACATAGCTAATTTATAAATTCTGTCGAATAAATGTTACACGTACCATTGAACATAACATTAAAACTTTTGTAAGTTTCCATGGTATAGCGAAGTTGTTAGGATGAACTTTTGTAAACTTTTGTGCTGTTCTTACCATACACATGCCATTTTAGCACAAATTAATCACAGGAATATAGTAAAATTGTTAGGATGTTGTTTGGTGTTATAAATGAAATTTACCTGTAAAAAAAAGTCAAAACATGACCATGCATGTCCTCTCCTCTTCTCCAGGATCATATTTGGATACCCTTGTAGACAATCTTCCTTAATATTTTTTTTTCTTTTTCTTGGAGCTCCTGCTCTAACTGCAGTCTGATTCGTGGACTACTAATAAACAATCTTCCTCTCATTAATACACAAAATAACCATTTGTTTTGAGATTGCTTTATACTGATGTGTGATCTGTTTGTTTCTATATCCAACCGTAGCTTGCTTTTCTACCGGCCTGAACATCATTTTTTCCACCTATTCCTTTTCACTTTGAAAGAACATTTTTTTTTTCAAATGATAGTGGATTAGGGGATGCATGTATTCAAATGAGTGGATGATGGAGTACAATATTGATCATATTGATGGCCTGGTGGGAGTCAAATATTACAAAACTATTAATGTGGTATTGATGGAATAGGTTGTAAATGATTTTTGGGATGTTCAATGGTTATATAATCAATATTGTATAAGTTGTAAGTGACTTTTAGAATGAGCTATGCAATGAGTGCAATCTTTCCACATGTGTTTTTAGCATTAAATTAAATTATACATACTCAAATTTATTTCAGAAGAACAAGATGCGTGTCACTCTTTTCGGAGATCAAATTAAAGCATATGACGAAGCCATTGTATACAATGGAGAATATGAAATCTCTAATGCAGCTGTGATGCCACTAGATAAGGTATTATCCTATACTTAAATTATTACTTATATCCTACTACATATGTATATGTGAATCATTAAAATTTGTTAACAACACAAATTTTTAGCCAATTGATACAATTTTCTGTGGATTTGAAGAAGATGGTGGATATAATATAGCCATTATATTACTATCTACATATTTATGCACCTTACTTTTCCCGAATTTAGAATAACTTATCGATCTAAAAATGTATTCAAATTATACAGATGTATTGGGCGTGGTACTATTTGAGAAGAAGAAGCACGGCAGGTCAACTCCAAATATAACAACCAAAGCTATGTCCGAGAAATTATCATCACAGACCAAACGTAAAAATAAAATACCTTAACTAATTCATAACATAACTCTACTATCTATGCAATTACTAAATTAACTGGTTGATTGCTCGCTACAACCATAACCAGACCTTGACCATCTCTGCATGGAATGACCTCTCAGGAATTGCAAGTGATGCTTTAAATCTCTGGGCTGAAAAATTTGCCGTTGTTGGCTTCACAGCTCTTAAACACAATCCTCGAAGAGGTAGAACCACAAAAACTATTTAATTTAAAAGGAAACCTACTTATTGTTCATATGAATTGAAAGGCTAACATGTCATCTACTGTGCAGCGTTTGCCTTATCAACTACAATGTCTACGAGGATTATTTATAACCCAAAAGGAGATAGATCGAATGTCTTACGTGAATGGTAATTAAAGTCATTATACATAGTAATTGATAACAAATAATTACTCTAACTACTTAAACACGCGTTTGTGATGCCATATTAATTTCTTATACATGTATAGGGCTGTAGCACAAAAGCAGTTACTACAAGATAGACAGGAAAAAGTTTTACAGATTCGAGATACTACACAAGAACAATCTATGAAAACAATTGAAGAACTAAAAGACAAGAAGGTATAAGTATTATAAATAATGTCTTTGTTTAAAATTAAAATAATACAACATTAATATTTCTCAATAAATTCATGCAGGCTGCAAATGCACTGATGGAAGAACGTCACTGGATTCAAGCTATCATTCCAAATGCTACTTTGGATGATGTATTTATTTACATAGGTTGTTCTGGTTGTGGAAAAAAATGCAGTGTTCCTGAAGGAAGGCAATTCACATGCATTGTCTGTGACAACAAAAACTGTGTCTCAACTCCAAGGTTTGTTAAAAAACAACTTTAAAACTAATCAAGAATATAATTTAACAATACCTTTATATTTTATCTATGAAAAAACTTAATTCATTAAACTATCAGGTGTCATGCGTTAATGTATTTTATTTTGGTTGAGATGTTATTCTTGTTTTGGATTAATTTAATTATTGTAATTTTGTAGTATTATATTGCAATCTAAAAAATAAAATGAGTAATACTCAGTGGAAACATATAGTTGTATAAGCTTAGGAAGAGACTTACTAAAATGTTGGAGAGAGAGAGAAAAAGAGAGAACACTTAAAAAATCAGAGCAATTAGCTTAGGAATATGCAATTAGCTTAGGAAACAGTTTACTAAAATGATGGATCACTAAAGCTAATTAATTAATTGAGAGAGAGAGAGAGAAAAAGAGAAACCACACTTACGAAAAATCACTTGAGAAAGAGATAAAAAATCATTTAAGATACATCATTTAAGATAAACCATTTAAGAAAAAAACACATAAGAAAAAAGGAGAAATTAGCTTAGAAGAAAGATCAACCAAATCACATATTCACAATACATAAAGACACAAATTAGGGTACATCATTCAAGCTGGTACTTTCGCCATTGGGGTACCACGCGCGAAAGATCAACTGTTTCCTAAGCAATTCTACTGTCAAACAAAAGATTGATGTTGATATGAATCGTATTATCAATTAATATATGTGTCTTTATGTACCGTGATTTATCATAGAGGAAAATCTAATAAGTGATTTTTTTTAAAGTGGTTTATCTACTGATTTTGCATAAATAACCCACACCAACTTATAATCTCCATTACATATAATAGCTGTCAGACTAAGTATCAGCTACTTTTTTACACAAGATATTGTAAATACACAAAATGAAAGGCTCCTTTTTTTCTGAAAAAAAAACTTTAAAGTTCATCAATTTAAAAAAAAAATGGAGCTAGCTTCACCATGTTGTTCTAATTTTCCTTCAATAGTTACCACCAACAAAACCAAATTCTCGCTATTTAGCTCATATCATCGGTTAAGCTTTCCTCCATCATCTTCTTCTTCATTTCTAGGCTCTTTATGTTTCCATTATCTATTCTTTATTCTATTTTATTTTACTTTTCTTTTGTATTTTATGTTATTGAAAAAAATATTAAATTGTTTACTAGTAATTTGTTGTTGAAATTTATATCATATACACTATAAAACATCATATGATTTTGAAAAAAAAAATGGCATTCATTATATGTGACATTTAACATAACATAATGGCAATTTGATAATTATTAATTTTGATGAGTTTTTGAATAGCGTGTTATGTGTGTTGCAAAATTTGGTTGATCTTTCACTTGTAATTTAGAATATGTATGCTAAATTCAACTGTATCAGGTTGCATTGATTGTTTGTTAATGAAATTGTGATATTGTTCTAATATAAACAATACAAGGCAACACAAAACTAATGCTTTCAAACCAAGATGTATAATTATTTATATATCATAACTTCATTGATTCAACAACTTAAACCTACTGTTCTGACTTCCTAATTATATACCCTACATTTTTAAAGCTAAGTAGTTAGGTTTTTTTAATCTAATACAAAAAAAAAAAAAAAAAAAAAACACTTTTCAAAACCCTTTGCTTCATGATACCAATTGTAAAGCTTAGCAAAAGAAAACCCCCAAAAAAACCCTAAATGCACTTTGATAATCAAAATCCATTGTTGTAGCCTTTAAACATGGACTTTTCCTTCCATACATATCATAATCCTCACTTGATCCTTGATTTTCTTCATAGTAGTTCCCAAAATCAGAATCAGACCTACTATCATCATTATCATCACCATCAGAATAGTATCCAAATGATGCATCCGATTTTGGTACAGCTTCTTCTTTGGTCTCGGTATCTGAGTCAGAATTTTGGTCACTTTCAGGCTGTTCATCAGTCTCATCATCTTCCTTTTTCTCACCTTGTTTTTCGGATCCACCCTCTTCCTCTATTACAACTGAATCTTCATCTCTATCTGATTGAACAACAATCACTTTTAGTTCATGCTCATCATCATCAACCTCTTGCTTTATTTTACTACTCGGTTCTCCTTCCATTGTTTGCTCATCTTCGGAGTACCTTGTTGCAGAAAGTCCAAATGATTGTTCATCTGCTTTGTAACATCAACAAAATATAACAAAAAACTTGAAATCTTCTCTTCTTGTGATTTGCCTGCATTCGGCTTCCATGCAGGTGGTGTGAAGACTTCCCCAGAGATGCAGTACTATCAGTACTTGCCATTTTTTTTTGGGTAGAAGAAAGAAGATGAAAGAAGAAAAGAAAGTACAGAGGAAAAAGAGGAGAATAAAAAAGGAGATGAAAGAACAGTATTATAAACAAGACAACTTCAAGCACATAATTCAACCAATCAAAACCAAGTTGAATAATCATGACACATTCTTGAAAAAATAAAACCCTATGTCTTCCAGAAAGTACCAGAAGTAACTTGCCTTTTTGACTTATACTAAACTTGTGTATGGCAAAGAGGCCAAGTTCGTATCTCAATACTAAAATAAAAGGTGTCATATGATCATATACACATTCTATAGACCTTTATGAAGATTGTTATTTAAGATTTAGAATTAAGTTAAAGACCATACTAATTTAAGATTAAGTCAAAGAATATACTAAATCCTAAATATAATCAAAAAAGAAGTTACTCATAAATATAATAAAACACATAATATTGTTATTTAAAATGTCAAAACACATAAAACATATAATAAAAAGGAGTAAACGGTAACAATCTTCATACACATTCTATAAATCATTATGAAGATTGTTATTTAACATTTAAGATCAAGTCAAAGACTATACTAATTTAGGATTAAATCAGAGACCATCCTAAAAGTTAAATATTAAATTTTAAATTACATATTTAATAAAATTAAGTCACTATTTTTAAATACGTACTAACTTAGGTCGTCTTGGGTCAAAGGTTGTTACTAATTTAATAGTTTTTTTTTTATTATTTGATATCAATACTAATAACGACAAATTTCTTACTTTAGTTTTTAATGTTATGTAACTAATGAAAGAAAAACTATACTAAATACTAAATATAATAAAAAAAGGAAGTTACTCCTAAATAAGAAAAACTATACTAAATCCTAAATATAATAAAAAAAGATATAATACTATATTAATATCAAATTCCTTTTAAACCATTATTTGATACCAATACTATTAAAATATTCCATTGCTTTTTACGAATGGTAATAAAAAAATAGTTTAAGGAAGTTACATTAGTTTTGGGTCAAGGGTTGTTACTAATTTAATAGTATTTTTATTATTTGATATCAATACTATTAAAAAAAGGTAATACACTTCACTATTAAATTGGTATCAATACTATTAAAATATTCCAGTATTAAATAAACAGTTTAATACGACAAGTTAACAATTAACAATAGTTTAATAGCATTATTTCATAGCATTAAACTACCGTTTAATAGACCACTGGTTCAGAAGGGTTAACAATACTAAAATTTAGAATATGTAATGTCTATATCTTTTAAATTTCTTTATTCTTTTTATTGAGTTGGCACATAAAACTAAGGTTATAATCACAAATTAATATTAGCTCAACCAAAGTAAAAAGAAAACCAAAATTTGATAGAGATTATTAATTATGAAATCATTGAGATAAACGAAAAACATGGGCCTCCTCTTTTATGTATACCTACAGCTTGAAATTAAAAGGTAAACTTATCATGTGTCTGTTTTTGGTGCCTGTTACAGTGGAAATTATGGCAAAAATTAGTATGATTTAGACTTTAAAATTTGGATTATTAATAATAAAATTGAATTGTTACAACACATATATTAAACCATGGATTTATTTGAGGTAATTTTCGTAGGATAAGTCATCTTGGGCCGTTTAAAGAATTTATAGTACTATTATGTGAAGAAAAAAAGGTGGTAAGAACAACGAACAAATCTTGTTGTGTATAGTTACTACTTGCTATATAGTTAATGACCCTGTTAATCCGAGATGATAGAATTGCAGTCCACACACGAATTTAATTGAAACGAAGACCTATGAACTGTTGTTATGTTGAGATTCTCAGTAAGGAGCAATATGCATAGACCATGAATCGTTTTTCTACTAGAACCAAAATAGATTGAGAGCACCTAACAGGAGCAAGATAAAGCTATTGTTGTTATGTTGAGATTCTCAGTAAGCAGCGATTTGCATGGACCATGAATCGTTTTTCTACTAGGACCAAAATAGATTGAGAGCACCTAACAAGAGCAAGATAAAGAGATGAAAGTTAAATTCTACTCACTTTACCCTTATAGTCACTTGAAGGGTCTTGTATTATTTTGTATTGAGAGCACCTACATTAAGTTCTTTTTGCATTTGAAAGGGACCAGAGACCAATAGTTTTCTGATACAAACTCTTTCAATCATTGTCTAGGATTAGGGAAAAGGAAATGGGAGATGGAGGGTTGTTGATTATTCTATTTGATCACTAACACCTCTTTACAGGTTACACACTTTGTACAACTTTATGTGCTATAAGGTCATTGAATAGTACTATTAAGAAAATTACATTATATAATAATAACCCTACCATTGACTTTATCATTTTTTTTTGTACAGGGTTGCTTTCAAATTTGAAGCAGCTGATGTAACAGGTTCAATAACATTGACATCGTTCAACAATGACACAGAGAAATTGTTCAGCATGAGTGCAGCTGAAATCAAAACTATGAAAGATCTTGTATGGCTCTTTTACATAATACTTCTATTAAATTTACACATAACTTAAAAGCAATTGCAAACATTCTACTTAT